TATATTAGATAAGATTTGATATAATTTATGAGGATAAGTACAATATAATGACTCTTTCTATATTTCCAGGCTAAACCGGGCTAAAACGATTGACCCATTAACCCTTGACCCACTAGCTCGACTAGGTCCGGGTCAACCCGCGGGTTGACAACCTTGCCACCAAGGCATCGAAAGTGACATAGAGGGTTCATTAATGAAAAGAAGAACAATCTCATGCCATCAAGATGTCATTCCAAGTAGAAAATGGGCATTAAAGACTCTAAGCAATCCACACATGTTGGGCAAGATAAGGCAATTAAATAGAGTCAAACAAGGACAAGCGTACCTTATCTTGCTAGGGGACATGATGGGAATCCAAAATCAATAGAAAATCCTTCTCAAAAGTTGTTGGAAGATAGGATTAAAGAAGGTGGGTTCAAAAATTCAAGAGAGTTGGAGAGTAATGGCATATAGATCTAGAGAATGGTGAAAAGACTTAGATCTAAAAAGGATGCCAATGCTTAAATAAGGACGGGCAAAATTGCGGGCAGGGCACCTAAGATCGCGGCCGCGATCTTTGCTCTGTCAAGCGTGATCTTTGCCCTGCAAAAGACAACTCATTTTCTCCACATCTCTTATTTCAGTTATTCATCTAAACATTCAATCAAGCATCCAAAAGAAAGGCTAAGTCTTATCAATCAATTTCAATGCATCTCTAATGTACTAACTAAGCTACTATTTAATTAAAAAGGAAAGGAAAAAGATACGCAAACCGAAGTGTTGGTTTGCCTCACAACAAGCGCGTCTTTAAAAGTCATTTTGCCGGACATGAATCCTTGAGATCAAATGGAGAGTCCTCCATTCTTCACCGATGATCCATCGTAAAAGTCATACTTATGGTGAAGTTCAAGGTGAAGACCATGGAGTCTCTTGGATGCCTCGTCCGGTGCTTGAGATGGAAAATATCCATTTGAGAATTGTTTTGCAAGATGGTGAGTGTGAGGCTCCTTGATAGAGATGTCATTATCAGTGAATGGATTGTAGCATTCCCCAAACTCTTCATTTTCCAGAATAGGAGCTAAATCACCCATAACAAATTTGTTACCTTTCTTAGGATGTCTCTCTTCAAAGATAAACCTTTCGAGCTTTCTTCCATGATCACTAGAGAGATGAGAAACCTTGAACAACTCTTGGGTTTGAATTTTTCAAGGAGATTTCTCTTTGCCCGGTTTCTTCCTATTTTTGCAAGAATCACTCCCTCCTTCAACTTGAGCATCATGGGGTAAACATGGGAGACCATATTGGACCATTCAATCTCGGGTCTTGAAGGTGATGTGGTAGGAGGTGTAACCGGCTCACAATCCATCTTGATATCGTCCCATTTGTAATACTTGTGGAAATTTGGGATTCGAGTCATCTTATAGCTTATCTCCTCTTCACCAAACAGTAGTGTGATCTTGCTTCCAGTTACATCAATGATAGTTCGTGCAGTAGCTAGAAATGGTCGGCCTAGAATAATTGATGCATCATACCCCTCCGTGTCTAGAACCACGAAGTCCGCCGGATAGACAAAATGAGCACACATTACCAAGATATTCTCTATGACTCCTCTTGGCTTGGCAACAGACCAATTGGCCAACTCAATCCGCATTGGAGTAGGAGTGAGAGGTCCAAGGTTCAAATCATTGTATATCTGTGTAAGCATGATGTTGATGCTAGACCTCAAGTCGACTAACGGGTTCCAAAATGTTTTATCTCCAAACGTGCATGGAATAGTGAAGATTCCCTGATCTCTTCGCTTGGGAGGGAATCCTCCATACCCAATGGATGTCGAAGCAACTTCACTAATGGATACCATAGCTACCACCTCCATTCTCCTCTTTCCCGACAAAATTTCCTTCAAAAACTTTGTATACTTAGGGATCTTCAATACCATGTCTAGGAAAGGAACAGTTACCTTTAAGTGCTTCAATGTGTCCTTCCATGGAGCACATTCATGATAAAGATCGCTTTCAAATAACAGTCTAGGATAAGGAGCTTTTGATGTTGGCTCGGGTTCATGAGTCTTCTTAGATTTTCCCTCATATTCGGCATTGACTTCGATGGAAGGTTGTACTTCCTCCCCATTTACTTCTTCTTCTTGAACAACTTATTGGTGAACTTCTCTTATCGGGATCCTTGGAGTTGAAATAGGAATCTCCTTCAATGGTCGGCCACTCCTCAGAGTTATCCCATGGCATCCTTCTTTCGGGTTCTGCTCGGTATTGCCCGTTAGAGTTACTTGAGGTCTCAATGAGATAGTTTGAGTCAAAGAACTTAGTTGAGCTTCAAGATTTTGAAGGGAAGGTTGTTGATTCCTTTGACCCGCTTCCAAACTCGAGAATTTGGTTGAGGTATTCTCTATGAACTTGTAAAAAGCTTCAAACTTCTTGTTGGAATGTGTGACAAATTGGCCCACCAAATCTTCAAGTTTAGCAAGTTGACCATCGGAGGATCGGCTTTGTTCTTGATACGCTCCTTGGTATGTTAGTTTACTCGGCCTTTGGTAAGAAGTTTGCATTGGAGCTTGAGATTGAAATCCCAGAAGTTTCCTATTCGTTGGAGAAGACTTAAGAAAGTTTGGGTGATTCCTCCATCTCGGATTATACGTCGAGCTATAAGGGTTGTTACTTCGAGATTGACCTCCAACAAAGTTGGCTTAGTCGAATTATATATAAGCTTCAATCATAGGATTGCATTCTTCCATATTATGACTTGACTCACCGTACCAATCACACTTCATAAGTTGCTTCTCATTGCCCTTCATTGATGATGCAACTTGATCGATTTTCTTGGAAAGTTCTTGAATATGGGCCAATAGAGATTATGGTTCTTCAATCTTCAATAAACTTCCTTTTGATATGCTCTTACCTCTTCTTCTGTCACCCCAATCGTAGCTATTAAGGGTCATTTCTTCGATTAATTGTTGAAGTGTTCGGACTTCTTTTTTCAGAATGGCACCTCCAGTAGCCACATCAACGAGGCTCTGTGATTCCTTTGTTAACCCACTATAGAAGTTTTGAACTTGTTTCCAATCGGTTATGCCATGGTGAGACACTTGAGTACGAGAGATGTAAATCTTTCTCATACTTTAAACAATGGTTCATCCTCCTCTTGACGGAACATAGTGATCTCACTTCTCATCAAAGCCGTTTTAGAAGGTAGAATGTACCTTGCAAAGAACTTGTTGCATAGATCATCCCATGTGGTGATTGAGTGATGTGGTTGATTATTCAACCACTTCTTTGCCGCTCCATTCAAGGTAAATGGGAATAACTTAATGATTGTCTCTATTGGGAAAAACAATTCAAAAACATATTGCACTGTATTAGAGACCAATCATTGTATTTCATACTAAAAGTTGATTATACATGCATAATGAGAAGCAACTCTAAAATTCAAGTATACTTAAGTTATGAAATACAATTAATTTTATTTATTTATTAATTGAATAAATATATTTATTTCTTATACCATATTTCTCATAATTATATTGTAAGCATATTATATATATATATGGCATATATATCATTGGACCATTTTTCAAGATGATACTTGCATAATTAGGTACAAAACCATATTACATGCCTTTGAGAACATTTATCATATTCATTACCATATTTCAAGCTTAAACTCTCCCGGCCAACGGGCCAGGCTCCACTGCTATATGGTAGACTTTTGTGTACCTTTCTCCTATTCATATTTCCTACAACGAGAGTGAAAGTAGGAATGACAATTTGGTCTTTACAAATAATTATTTATTTCATATAAAAATATTAATATCAAGATTTGAACCCGAGTCTCTTCACACAAAGACAACAATCACAACCAATTACACTAAATAAATTTATTTTATCTTTTTGAATACACAACATATAAGAAGTTAAACTTTGAAAATCTAAGAACTTTTTCATTATAATTCGCAAGCCCACTAATTTTATCATATGTATTTTTCAATTCAAATATAAATATTGTGCTTTTTTATCTTTGTTCTTATCTTTTTCTAACTTCGTCCAAAATTCCATACATCGAGCAATAGTATGCGCACCTTTCACTTCCCAGTACAAGGCCGCATTTGAAAATAAATTTTCTGATATCTCTTGGCACTACTTTTATTGTTGGGTTTTTAAATTGGGCAAGCAGAAGATTTCAACTCCGATATCAATCCATGACGAATACAATGGAGTTGTATAAATGGAGTTGCACAAGGAGGATTAGAAATTGAATTTTTGGTTGAAATATATGCCTCTTGAGATTGAAGATAGAGTGGATAAAAATTTCATTGTATGACGGAGAGTGGTGCCTATTGAATCTTTAGGTTTTTGCAGATATCACAACATGTTTCTATCTTAAAACGATGAATCATTGATTGATTTACTGAAGTAGGTCGATTCTTTATTCAACCTACTAGAACTAACAGATAAGGAGTGTCTAATTTTGTGCCTTATTACTTTGATCGAGTCTATTAGTATATTGAAGGTAACCCTAATTTTTCGTTTGCTCTTTAGTTTTGATGGTCTCATCTTAGCTGAGTTGATAGTATATAGTTGACTTTAATCAATAACTCTCAATTTTTTTTTTATTAGTAGCATATTTTTCCTATCTTTGTAGGATTGTGACGTTGATTTAGTTTCAAACTATCTATAGGTCGTGCGGGAAATCGAGTGAGATTTTATACTCTATCTTTCTTGACAATTAACTAACCAATAGCATTTTAGCGAGGGCTTAATTATCACTATAAAAATGGGATCAATGATACATTTTTATATTTCATATTCTTAAATGATTGTGATATTTCTCCGAATGTTCGACTTATATATTTTTTTTCTTTATGTATCATTTTGATCGAAGGATTGTTACTAAAATTAGACAGATTGATAGTCTTAAACCTAACATAAAAATATAAATAATCGAGTATGAACATTCCGACCAACTTATAAGTTAGTTTATAGAGCCGTAGTAGAATTGATAATTTCGATAATTCAGGACCGGTCATCTCAGGTTCTCTCTCCTTAGGAAAGAAAAACCTGGGAGGGAGAGAAAGCAGAAAAACAATAGAAGAAAAAGAAAGCCAATTAATTCTCTAAAGCGGAAATGAGAAATTAAGAAAAAAAAAATGAAATTTAAATAGGCAGGCGGAGGAAGACACGAAGAAGAGAACCCATCTTTTCTTCTCTTTTGCTTTGGGGTGGAAGAGAAGAGGAGGCATTTGGTTTGGTTGGGTTCCCCGGTGTAAACTGTTTCTCTCCCCTTTTCTTTTCTTCCCCAGTTCCCCTGACCTGAATCAAGAGGCGGAAAGATTCTCTAAGCGAGTCTAAGGGGAGGAAGGAAAAGAGGGAGAGGAGAGACGGAGAAATTGCTAAAGAAAACCTCATTTTCGCGAGCTTTCGTTTCTAGGTGTGTGCATGAGATAACCCAGAAATCATTGGGTGGGGAGCAGGTTTTGGGGTTTCTCGCTATTGGATCTCCGATTGATGACGATGGCGATGGAGTTGGATAGCATTGAGTGCGTCTCTTCCTACGATGGTTTGGATGAGGATGAGATCCCTCACGACCATCACCACCATCACTTCTCTTCCGCCAAGCCCCACAATGCGGCTGCCAACAACAACGCCCGCGGCACAGGTATCCCCGGCCCCCCTGCCATTGCTCCCGCCAACAGCGTTCATGAGTTGCTAGAATGCCCCGTCTGTACCAATTCCATGTACCCGCCCATTCATCAGGTTCCCCCAAAACTACATCCGCCCTCATTCCTCCTTTTAGAATTCGCCTTTTGATTGTGTGGAATTAGATGGGCTTCTTGCGCATTTGAGATTAGGTTTGTGTTATTGGGATTTAACGATTCTATATTCTGATTTGCATCATTCTGTGTTCTCATGTTTAGACTTGGCTCAATTTGGTTTGTCATTGTTCATTCATCGTATGATGCTTTGTGAGTGGATGCGAGAGGAATTGGCTTTGCATTTGGATTTGTCCGTATTTGCACTATTCCTTTGAAGGAATGAGATGTCTGATCATGTGATCTTAGCTAGAGTGAAGCAGATATACTCTTTAACTGGTTCCTCCATCATCTTTCTTTCTAGAAAGAGATATTCGAGAGCTGGATAAAGATAAGGGGATAATTAATTTGTATTTATTGATTGTATAATGATTGGTATTTGGCTATTAATTCCAACTTAATAGGAGGTAAGTCCAAAGCGTGGAACCTTCACTCCTCACGTTTCGAGCTCTAGTATCTTCTCCAAAACTAGTGGATATATGTTTTAATCTTTATATCATGTTCCTGGAAATTTGCAGTTCATTTCAAGTATAACTCTTCTGAATGTTTGTTTTACACAATACATGATGGTTCTTAACTTCTAATATTGGTCCAAGATCATATTGATGCTTAAAGTTTGTTTCCCCAGTACATTGGAGTATAATTTTCTCTCTACTTGAAGTCTATAGTGAAATTTGTTGTTTCAATTGCCTGGGTGATCCTGTTTCTCTATCTGGTTGTTATCCACTTCTTTACTATTTCCTAATGCATGTGTCATTTAAATTAGCTTAACTCCAACATCATATTATCTTTATGCATTATGTTTTTCATGTATTGGTATCTCCCTTCTGTATTTTTCTATAAGTTTGACAATACCACAATTTGCCAAAAGCTTGACATTCATTGTGTTACGATTTAGTTTCTTAACTATGTTGCTTCATTGCAGTGTAGCAATGGACACACGCTCTGTTCGACTTGCAAAACCAGGGTACATAACCGTTGCCCGACTTGTAGACAGGAGCTTGGAGATATTAGGTGTTTAGCACTTGAGAAGGTGGCAGAATCTCTTGAATTTCCTTGCAAGTTTTACAATTTGGGGTGCCCAGAGATATTTCCTTACTACAGTAAACTCAAGCATGAGACAGTTTGCAACTTTAGACCTTACAATTGTCCATATGCTGGATCTGAATGCTCAGTTGTTGGTGATATTCCTGCCCTTATTTCTCATTTAAGAGATGATCACAAGGTAGACATGCATACGGGTTGCACATTCAACCATCGCTACGTGAAGGCTAACCCTCGTGAAGTTGAGAATGCCACTTGGATGTTGACGGTAACTATTAACTGAACTCAAAAGATAATATGTCATTATGTCTGAATCAAAGAATTGTATGTGTCTCTGAGGTTGAATTGTTAAAAGTGTTCTTCTAACAATGAAATGTGACATCTAGAAGCAACCCTCAGCCTTTCCACTCAATCCGCCAAAATTTTGGCATAATGGATCAACAGATTACCTTGATCTTGCTCAAAAAATTGTTTTGATTTGGAATGTACTCCGGGTCTTGGCATGGAGAATTTCTTGAGCTAAATGCATAGCCTACTCTAACAGTAAGTTTTTGCTTGAAAGTCTACTAACTTATGTTGTATATGCAAGTTGAGAGATAATGGCTTAAGAATAACAATGAAGCTGTCAACTTTAGGGTCTATTTGGTTTGGTATATTTGTACTTTTATGTTAATTTTGTTTAATTGGATTCTATTCATTTTGGTTAGTACAAAGTGAGGTGTATTTTCAAAACCATTGTTTGGTTGAAATGCATTACACAGGAATTTGTGTTAGCAATCCCAAGAATTTGAGATTGCATCATTTTGATTCATTTCAAATTGTTGCAATTTAGAATGCACGTTATTTCAGCAAAAGTGTCAACAGACAATATTATATTTGTTCAATTGCATGCTAACGGTATCACTTTCCTAGATACACTCTGCACCAAACGACATGTTAGTGGTAAATTCCAGGATGGACAGTTGTGCTAGCATTTAACAGTTCCTTATTGTGTAGCTCTCCTTGCCTGTGTAGTCCTCATTTGCGCATGATCTATCATCCAACTATATAAGCATGCTTTAGATTTTGGGGCAACTCATCGCATGCATCTTTAATGCAGGTATTCCATTGCTTTGGCCAATATTTTTGTCTTCATTTCGAAGCCTTTCAGCTAGGGATGGCTCCAGTTTATATGGCTTTCCTGCGTTTCATGGGCGATGAGTCTGAGGCTCGTAATTACAGCTATAGCCTCGAGGTTGGAGCAAATGGGAGGAAGCTCATATGGGAGGGGACTCCACGAAGCGTAAGAGATAGTCACAAGAAGGTGAGGGATAGCCATGACGGTCTAATTATTCAAAGAAACATGGCTCTCTTCTTCTCCGGCGGGGATAGGAAGGAACTAAAGCTGAGGGTTACTGGCAAGATTTGGAAGGAACAACAGAATTCAGAAGCCGGTGTGTGCATACCAAACATTTGTAGCTAAAAAAAATAAAAACGTAAACAGATTAACTGTAATTTTTTGGACGAGTTCAGGAAAATTGTGTGTGGGGTTGGTACACACTCTTGTGTGTTGTGTTTTGTGCAATTCTCATGATATGTGGTGGACTGAAAAGTCAAATTTTCGTTGTCTTGGTAAGTGTTGTATAAATGAAAGCAACTCGTCTTCCTTGCTACAGTTTGGCTGCCACTTGATATTGGACCCAGCTTCTATATCTCTCGCTACAACTGTGTTGTCTAAGCTTGAAGTTGCCTTCGTTGAGAGGGACCTAATTTCATCCCTGAGCCGGGTAACATTTCGGTCCACACTTGGACATTAAGATCCATCCGAATTGATATTTGGATGAAACAGTTGAGATGAAATTGGACAACAACGAAGATTGATTTCGACTCCATTGTTTCTCATTATGAGGAAAGTATGTCAACATTTAGTCAAAGAAGAAAGTCTGTCAAATCAAAATTATTGAAGTGCACATGGAAATAGAGAGATGGCACAGTCTATTGACAACATCTTCAGTTTCGTCCAAGTCGGATCCTAAGTATCACCTCTATTGGGGAGAATACCTTCCGTTGTGGGTTATCAACGCACCATTTGTACCAAAATGGGTACTTTCTGATAAACCAAAACTCGGCAAAAGATTCAATCCCGGCTCGTCGAACTCTTTTTCTTAAAAATTTCGTAGAATGAAACAACAGAGAAGTGATTTCGAACATTTCTTTTCTATACAATATTTGATGATCCTGATTGGCATATGTTGTTTTGGCACAAATTTTTTTTGTTCTTAAAAAGAAATAATTTGACAAGGTTCAATTATCATAAATGAATTTCTAGGGACTTGAAATATCTTGTATTACTATCACCAGAAAGAAAGAAAATTGAGGAATTATTGTATACGCTAGGACTGCCAAGCTGGATGCAATAATTTCTCAAGAAAATTATTCATTAATATTACATATATGTTCCCCATGATAACCGGGTTCATGAATTATGGTAAAAAAACCATCCGAGTTGCTTTCCTTGATCTTGATTCTATATTAAGGAAAGTAAGAAGCCCACTGACATCTCTTCATCTGCTTTTTTATGTTAATAACCAGAAGCTATGTGAAAATATCATTGGATCTCGGTTGTTCTAAATTTATGCCTTAGGTTCAATAAACAGAGCCTCCAAACTTGGGAGTCTCTCCGACATTAAGTAACCACATCTTACCCACTGCGCCTAGAACACAAAGCTCCCCTCTCATTTCCCAGCTACTGTTTAATTTGAATACATTAATGATCCTAACAGTGCTTGCATGATAAAAGGGGAGAAGAAGCAGACTTTCCCTACATATATATATATATATATAAGGGCTTTGGTAATTGGTAGGCTAGTTAAATGTACATCATAAAGATTTTAACTTTATTTTCTTTTACACTCATTTCTTGCGCTAATTTCACTAGGAAGTTCAAACTATTCAAAAAGGTAGAGCTGTCAAAATGTAACCCGACCCGAGTAACCCGCCCGATCAACCCGACCCGCAACCCGATTTGACTAAAAGTCAATAACCCGTAACCCGCCCGACCCGACCAACCCGATTAACCCGCAACCCGACTAACCCAAACCCGTAACCCGACCAACCCGCAGCCCGACTATAATAGAAGGAATTTGATGAAGATAAACTATAAGTTGACATTTGAAATCCTAGTTCACTAAAGTCTGACTCTGATCATTACATCATCAATTATTAACTTAGTATAATAATATACATCATTAACCTATTAACGCATATAACATCATCAACCTAATAGTGCACATAACATTATAAAATATTAATTTAGCATAATAAGATAATTATAAGATTTAGAATCCAAATATCATGGTCCTATCATAAAAAAGACTAATAATAGTTCACGAAAGTCTTATCATAACAAGAATACATGACTCTTAATAGTTCATATTGTCTCAAGACCTCAAATATCAATAAAACATGTCCAAAAAATAAATTGACATTCCAAATGACGATCACTCTAGAAGCTTTACTTCTTCTCCATCACCCTCGTATCTTCATCATCGTCATCTGTACAATTAATCAGTGAAAAGAAAATAATAAGGAAAAGAGAATAGTTTGTTCAGTACAAATATAACAATGTGTTTTTTCTTACCCATTTGGTATTCTCGTATTCAATTACGAGTTGTCACAACAGTTTCAAGAGTATCAAACAATTCAAGATGATTTCCTTCCTCACTTTCCTTTATCGATACAAATATATAATCATACAAACGTCCATTTGATGATATATTCTATACCTAGTAATAATATCAAGTCTTGGTGGTCTCCTTAATAGATCTTTACTGTATTGTGCTAGCTTCATGTAGTTACGATTTACGATTTACTAGTAGTCACTAAAAAGTAACGCGATGTGCTGGTCCGTAAAACCCGCAACCCGAACTGCCCGACCCGATTGACCCGAAACCCGATTGGCCCGCAACCCGAGTGACCCGCAACTCGATCAACCCACAACCCGACCAACCCGCAACCCAAATGAACCCAGCCCAAACCCGTCCGAACCCGCCCGATTGACACCTCTACAAAAAGGTCATTTGTGTACTAAATTATTCAATATGACAAATTTGGCACGAACTATTTTTTCTGACGATAAGAATTTAACAAAAAATCTAGTCAACGCTGACGTGGTATCTGACATGGAATTTGTTTGAACCATCTAACTCCGGTATGAACAATGATATTTGTTGGTGTGGGTCGACTCGTCATCCGTTCGTCTGATCTCGTCGGGAGGGAAAGAACCTGTGGAAGAGTCGGGGTTGCCCCCCGGATTAAGCTCCGACGGTCAAGTTAGTGTCGGTTTGTGGAGAGAGTTGAGAGAGTAGATAGAGAGATGGAGTGTAGAGAGATAGTAGAAAGTGTAAAGTGAGGAGAGAGAAGAAGTCCCCCTCTTTGGAGGGCTTCAAGCCCTTATATACCTGTAGCGGGTATCGAGCGTTGGGCATCGCCGATTATGCGCCCTGCTGCTTAGTCTGTGCGCTCTGTCCCTTAGTAACACCCCCAACAATTGCCCCCCAAGCTGGTGGTGAGTTTTAATTCATCACTAGCTTATATTTTATTTTTTAAATCTTTGTCGGTAATTTTGGGTGGGGCCTATGTACCCCAATTGCCCCCCAGCTGGTGGCGCGTTTGAGTGACGCGGCGCCAGCTTCTTGCGTCTTGCCCCCCATTAGCGCCATTAACGCTTAGGATAGTAAAATATTTTAAAAATTTAATAATGATGGAGGGATAGAGTACCTAGCTTTATATTGGCAGTGGCGGCAGGAATAGTTGAAAGGCGGGCGTTGCGCCGTTGAAACAGAACCTGAGTGGTAGCCTGCAGGTTGTTCTTTCGAACTGGGCGCGAATAGTGCTGGACTATTGCTAATTTTTTTGTTCCGTGGAACTGGGCGCGAATAGTGCTGGACTATTGCTAATTGTTGTTCTTTCGAACTAGGCGCGAATAGTGCTGGACTATTGCTAATTTTTTGTTCCGTGGAACTGGGCGCAGAGTGCTGGACTCATACTAATTTTTTGTTCTTTCGAACTGATTGGGCGCGAATAGTGCTGGACTATTGCTAAGTTTTGTTCCGTGGAACTGGGCGCAGAGTGCTGGACTCATACTAATTTTTTGTTCTTTCGAACTGATTGGGCGCGAATAGTGCTGGACTATTGCTAAGTTTTGTTCCGTGGAACTGGGCGCAGAGTGCTGGACTCATACTAATTTTTTGTTCTTTCGAACTGATTGGGCGCGAATGTTAAAATTCAGACGCCACACCGTTGAAACACAAGGTACTTGTGGCCTGCTGGTAAGGATGCTTGCCTGTCGGAGGAGTGGCGCGGGTTCGAAGTCTGGCGACGACTACATTATTTTTAAGTAGTGCGCCTGTTGAATGCGGGCCGCGAGTGCGCTTGGGCGCGAGCAAGGGTGCATTGCGCTTGTGGACGCGGGTTGAGTTGGGATGGGCCGCGAATGCTGAGCCGCCGAGCGGAAGTGGGCCGCGAATAGAGAAGGGTGCAGAAGCTTTTAAGTTGGCCGCGCGCCATTGAAACACAAGGTGTGCGTGTAGCCTGCTGGTTGCGTCGCTCCTTTATTAGAGAATTGGCGCGGGTTCGAAGTCGGGCGGCGACGATATTTTTTGCAGAGTTCCGTGCTCACTGGGCTTGGCGGGCTGGCGGAGTGATGTTGGGCCGCGAGTTGATGGTGGCGCGGATCAGGGCTGGCGGAGTGATGTTACGCGGGCCGCGAGTTGGGGCGCCTGCGGGTTTGGTGGGGGCTCTGGAAGCCCGCTCGGGGACTTGATGTGTGGGCCGCCAATTGCAGTTGGAGCGGAGTGGGCCAAGTATTGGAGGCAGGCCCAACATCCGCGAGACTGGTGTGAGGCGCGGAAGTGATGCGAAGCCCGGGTTGAGGCGCGGAAGTGATGCGATGCGGGCCGCGCATTGGAGGCAGGCCCAACATCCGCGAGACTGGTGTGAGGCGCGGAAGTGCGCAATGTGGGCCGGGCTGGTGCGTGAGTGAATAGATAAAAACCGCCGCGCTTTGATAGCAGTAACTTCCTTTAGCTGGCTGGTTGACTTCCACGCCTTGTGGAGAAATGGCGCGGGTTCGAGTAGTGGCGGCAGCTGCATTTTTTTTTTTTTTTTGTATGAGCTCAGCGCTATAGTCGTCAGGCTTTGCTGTCTGGCGCGAGTCAAGCAGAAGTCGAAGCGGGCCTGTAGAGGAACTGTTGGCAGGCCCATGTGGCGCAGTGCTGCTGTGCCGCGGGCTAGGGCGGCGGAGCGTTTTCCTTAGGGGTGCAGACTCGCAGTAGGGATACGAGTGTTGGGGTGCAGTAGGGATTTAGATCCTCCGCCCCACTTAAAACTCCAAACCAAGTACGCCTTTCCCCTTAATTTTTTCTTTCTTTCCACAACTCCTTCCTGTTTCACGAACAGTACCGCTCCACCAAGAGATCCTTCTCTCCCTCTTTTTTTTTTTTTTTTTTTTTTTTTTTTTTTTCTCTTTTTCGGTTGAATCTTTTCTTCCTTCGTTTATCATTTCTTCCCAGCTCAATACGAACCGCTCAGTGCAAACCACACGACTCCCGGAAGTTTTCCTGGCGGAGTTGAGCGCGACGCTTCAAACGCGCTCGCGGCGGCGGTGTGATGATGCTCGCCGCGACGAGTGGCTCCTTTCTTTCTCGGCGAGCTCCAGGAGCGGGGAGCGCGGGATTGAGGGCGCGACGCTTCAAACGCGCTCGCGGAAGTTTCTCCGGCGAAGTTGAGCGCGACGCTTCAAACGCGCTCACGGCGGCGGTGTGATGATGCTCGCCGCGACGAGTGGCTCCTTTCTTTCCAGA